GTTATTCTCGACTTCATGCATTAAATGGGCAAGCTGCATCGTCGTAGTATGCATACGCCGGTACGCATACTGGTGGGGGTGGGGCGTCCACACCCAGAGGAACCGCCTCAGTACCATTTTCTCGGCTACCTTACTGATAATGGAAGTAAGGCTGATGGGACGGTACGACTCCAACCGTTCAGGCGACTTACTAGGTTTCAGGAGTGGGACGATGGTCGCTCGTCGCCACTCGGCCGGGATGATTCCTGTCGTCCAACTGTGATTTATGCATCGAAGAAGAAATCGGAGACCCTTCGACGACAAATGTCGCAGTGCCTCACTGTGGACTTCGTCCGGTCCGGGGGCCTTGCCAAACGGTGTACTACGCAGCGCAGCAAGCAGTTCCGGTTCGCTAAAAGGGGCATCGAGAGGGGAGGGGGGAGAGCCTATCGTAGAAGGGGCGGCAGACTCGCTGGTGTTCTGCAGATTCAGGGAGAGAATTCCGACCGGCTTCGCACTTCAGAATGTGTCGCAACGGCCCAGCCTCGGCGACCATAGCGCGGCAGGCGGGAGTAGACACGTTTGTTTTGCAGACCTTTGCGTTTCTTACTGGAGAGAAGGGCATCTTGAAGAGGTTGTGTGTAAATCAATTTCGATTGTTTCTGCTGCGCTGTCTTGCAAGCTGTGCTTGATCTCTCGATGCGTCGCCGTTTTTCCCTGCTTGTTGTTGCTTACTTTCTGGACCGACGTGTGGAAGGCAAGAATATGTAAAATCATGTTTCCATCACATATGATGTGCTGTCGTACAGAGTAACTGGCCCAGTTAATATTGGAATGTGAAATCTTGTATTTGTTTTTAAAACAATTTTTCTTTCCTAACTCTCTGTTTCCGGAAATGGGATCCAAAAAATATATATGTATGAGCTGTGTTTTTCGTCATTTTTTTTTTCTTTTACCTGCCAGCAGGACTGACGCATGCACGGGTTGTGGAAGTTGTTGTTGGTTTCCCAATTTTACTACTTAGCGCTCTGGGATGTGCTCGAGAATGCCAACTGGTGATAAAATATTGATATTACTACTGATAAGAAATACATGAGGACGCACTCATCCAGGGGTTTGGCATGGAAACGAAAGCCTGCGAGGGCGACGCTCAATAGAAGCTGTTGATCAATATATTTAGCCCAACCGATGCGCTTGGTTGGGTTTCCGCGAGGCCCTACAAGTAATTATATGCCCCGCACGCCGGTTAGCATCGTAAAATACGCCTGCCCTCAGCAAGCAGGGGGTGCACAAGAGAATCTCGGCCCCGACAAGAGAACTCTATTCGATGGACACTTGGGGCGAACAGCGGCCTCGACTGCGCACTCCGCCGCCCAGCGATGGCACACCATGCTCGGCCAATACAATCGAGCAGGGGCAAATACAACAATAGCATGCAAACGAAAAAAAAAATCATGAAGTAAGACACCACAAGACAAGAATCGACAGAATAAAAATAAGAGACTTCAGGGTCTCCTCTCTGGCGAAAACCGCGCCGCGCCGCGTACGGAAGGACCTTTGGGCTATCTCCCTCCCTCACTCTGTAAGGCGATCTTGGGGGCAGAACCTCTTTCGCCTCGACACGAACTGCGCTAGAGTTCCCGTGAAGCATACCCGCCACACGCCCCCACGGTTCACATCGCGACCTCCCCGGAGACCCGCAAAGCCGGACCAAAGAGCAGGTACAACCCACCCTCTTTGTACGCCGCGGGTACGGGGGCTGACAACCGGCCTCCTCGCGGAGACGCGTGCCGCCCACTCTTTCCGCAGAGGGGAGGGGTGAACACATGTTCTTGTTTTCGATTTTGGGAAGGGAGTTTTCCCGGGAGGTTTGGCCCGCCTCCTTTTGCGGCCCAAGTTCGGCTGTGCGGGTGCGTTGCATCATCGCCGCGCCTGGGCGCCGCGTCTCTCCCGTCGTCGTTTGCGCTCGTCCCGCGTAAAGTGGGGGAATGCCCTCGGCGCCTCCCACCGCCGGGTCACGGCACGCGGGGGAGTTGAAGTGGCGTCCCGCCATTAGCCTCGGGACTTGTTTTTCGCCTTTGCCCCGACGCCGCGCCCGCGTGCGGGGAGGACTCCCTTCTCCGCCAAAAGTCCACGCCCGCAGCACCCGCGCTGAAGCGGCGTGTCCTCCGCCGGTTCCCCGTCCCAGCGGGGCTTTTTCTGTGGGGCGCGGGCTCCCCCCTGCGCGCGGAGGGCGCCGGGAAATGGCTCCAGAGTGGGGCGCAGCCGCCGACACGATGCCCGCGGCGAAGCTAGGAGCCGCCGGTGGCTCGGGATCGCCAGAAGAACATGGCCCGCCGCGACGCCCGCAAGGGTAGAGGGCTGCGATGTTCCACCGCGTGCCCCACGACGACGCGTCGACAGCCGCAGCGGATCGCTGCCTTGCGTCGCGGCGGCGCTGAGCCAACGGGACATCTCTGCCGTCCGACTGCCGCGCGGCAATTTTGCGGCGATCGTGCGCGCCTTCTGCTGTGGACCTCGGCGCCGTGCTTGATCTTCGCCCGGGGCGCGGCAGGGCAGAGCGTCCCCGCAGGGTGTTCCTCCCACCACCCACACGCACGCACGCAACGAAGCCGCCGCCGATCGAAGCAAGCGCCGACCCGGGCCCGATGCAGACGGGTGTCGCTCAACGCGGCCGCCGTGCCGCGCGTGGTG